ACTGTTAAACAATGCTAATATGATTTATTAATTAAAATTTATAACTTATCTGCGAATTGCGATTTATTTACATTACAAAAATCATTAACATCGTATGAATCACAGTATGTACCTATATTAAAATATTATATAACTGCGTTATTCCGTTGTAACATCGGCCATATTTTAACTAAGGTGATCCATTATATTTCGTGTTTGGTTACGCCAAATAAATTTTCGAACAAATTCTTAAAATTAACAAATTATAAATTCATTCACGTGCCACTATATCGGCGAAACACTACAAATTGACGTAAGAGAACGGAAAAGTATAAAACAAAAATCGACTAATACTTTTATATGTTGATAATGAATTATTATATAAATAATATAGATATTTTATTTGGTGATACCGTGGTCAACGATATATGTGGTAGGTTATTGCATGTACGCAATACCGACTTTGGTGCTTATAAGTGTATAACAACTAGGTAAAAAGTTCTTGTACCAATATTTTGATGTAAGTCGGTCCCTAACACATTTCTGTATTAAATTTCAGTATAGATTCATAACTTTGTGTACAAATATAGTGCTGGTATAATATGATGGTATTGTGTAAAACACATAAATACGTTTATGTATTGTATTATAATTTAAAATAACATGTTTCCATTTGCTTGTGTATACCGGAACGGCTTTATTATGACAACCGTCAACGCGAAACGCAAAAATTTAAACATTTAATCTTGTAGGGATCATCTTAAATTCGTTGTTACGATTATTATTTTGTTATATGTACAACTTATTACGCGTTTGTTGACGATTCCCGCGTTTTTCACACACAATCAAGAAAGTATAGAAAATATCAATTTTCAACATCAATTTTATTAGATGTATATACATGTGTATTACACAATCACGAAACCGGTCAAAGTATAATATTTATATTTACAAATCTAATGAAAAATAAAAGGAGTACATAATCACTGTTATACGTTTATTTATAATAAAAATCGATTTGATTTAACTCTTTCTTTGAGTTTTACACCCTAGGTATTCTAGATCTTTATTTTATTCAGGATGGTCACAAAAATTTATCTTATCGCAGTATTCCCTATATCTACCTAGGTAGTTACAGTTTAAGATCACGTGTCTCTGAATTTTTTGAGTATATAGGTACCTAACCTATAGTATTCAAATATTGTTTTCGAAATGATCTATGATAAACCACGAAGTGATTTTTTTCACTCGCTGTTCAATTTGTGTCTAATGATTCGAATTAGATGGCAAAAACTTATATTTATTTAATCTAACTTACTATTTATGTTTATTATTTAAATGGCTTGTTTTGTTATCCACTAATATAGTCTACAATATTTGTAGGGAATGGTTTTAAATATAAACGTAATTGAACAAATATATATCTAATGCATTTGTAATTAATTAAGTAAAAATAAAAACTAATATGCCAGATTTATTGTTTCTGTATGTAATAGAATGTCATTATTATGACAAATACAAAAATTTAATTTCACTATTCATCAAAATCTCGAATAAAGATTAATGATTATTATATAATTAAGATTAAGAATATCACATTTTCTAATATCCTTATAAAAATTCTAAAACAATAAATAATGAAAAAATAAATAAAGCTCGAAACAATATAAAAATGAAAACTAGGAATGGTTTATCTGGTAATTTTATATGCTATATTTATCTCGTGTTTCGCTGTATGAATTACACTAATTAGTAAAAGTAAAATGTTCATTTAATAATTAATTTACTTCTTGAAAGTCCCATGGATTAAACAATTATATAAACTACACCATCTAGAGTAAAAATGTAGGTAATGCAAATTTAAAATATCTAGCTCTTGATTTTGAAAAAGTTTTGATGTTTATTTATTTTTTATCGGTTTTAAAAAAGGAAAAATCAAGTATTCATGAACACACAAAATCTAATGAGGATTGAAAACTCATGATGAACAATTCAAATTTATAATCCCTCGCAGGTTAAGTTTTAGCATTTACCAAAAATATTTTTAAATTTTTCAAGTGGGATTTGTAACGTTGATGAAAAGTATAATAACTCTTTGTTTTTGGATAATTAGACTGTTAATATATATGTGTACGATCGAGAATATAATTCTTTATACGTATGTAGGCAAGTGTTTTAGCTTTGAGTGATCAGAAAAAAATTGACTTTCTGCACTCGCGCGAATAATATAACATATGTATTGAAACATTATTGCTCTGAGCATTTGGCTCATTGAGTTTTTGTAGATTTTGTGAAAGCTCAATAAGATATTTGCACTTTTACACCCAACCAGGTTGTTTTAAAAAAGCATACGCGCTTAATGTCGCCACAACCATGTCATTGTGATCTCATGAGTTTCTACTAACTTCTTTTATCTTTGTTATGGCGTTGCTCGAGCATTGCCAGTAAATTATTTTCTTCAATTACCTATGTGTGTGAATACTGTTCCACAAATTTCATTTTGTTCCGAAAGTATAATTCTTAATTTTTTTTTCATTTTACTTTTTCATAATTGATTTTAGTTTTTAAAATGTTTATGAAGTCGAGATTAATGGTAATCTGTTAACGTAAATCTTGTTAAAAAATTATTAAAAACGATATTATCTGCATTATTGTTGTTCTTCTCTCCCCACAGTTGTTAAAACTTTAATCGATTCATATATTTTTTATGCAAATAAATAATTATTTGTGAAGAATATTAATATTTAGCGTCTCTCCTCAATTAAATAAGATGAATTTAAATTTGGTAATATTACATACGTTTTTATATACCGGAGAAAGCATCTAATTTTTGTAATAACCTACATACTCTAATAACAGATCTCTTTTTTGAATTTGTTATGTGGACGTATTTTTTGACAAAAATTAATGGCTAATAAAAAAAAAATAATAATAATAATGATATAACAAAAAATCCTAATAATGCATTTGATTTTTAAATGCTATAACAAAATTATCTGAACAACACGATATTCTTCTTCTTCTTCAAAAAAAGAAAAATATGATTTTCATATTATGGCAACGTTTTTTACACAATAAGATGAACTCCTTTGTCTTCCAATCTGATTTCGTTCTGTGTATCTACTTAATTTTGTACCTAGTAAAATTTGCATGTGGGTTGTCAACTTTCCATCGAATCACTTTGTATAACAGTTACAATATAATTAAATGTTATAAAATTGTTTCAAAATGTTTACTTAGGTCTACCAAATGTATTATGTACATTATTAACATTTTAGCTTTGATTTAAATTGTGTGTGTTTAAATAGTAATAATTATTATTATTATTGTTAAAATTATTATGATTATTATTACTATATAATATTATTACAGATATAATTATTATGATTATTATTATTATCATTCTCATTATAATAATGAAAAATAAACTATAATAATTTAATTCATTTTTATTAAATTTATGTTTTCGATTCTATTTGGTAAAATATCATCATTAATGTCTGTGTATGTGTGTGTGATTTTTTTTCAATTTTAATTTATAATTTAGGTGTTTCAAAAACAATAATATAATACACGGATCACGGATATACTCGTAAATATTGTACCTAGAATATATAATAATGAATATAAATTTAATGGTTTCACTTTAATATTAGACTTTATATTTTAATTTAAGCCCATTTGTTTGTGAACCAATTAAATGTTTGATTTTTCGATCAAGTTATTGAAGTTAAATTAAAATTAAAACAGTATTTGGTATTGAAGTGTATTAATACTCAGAAAAACAAAACTTCGTGTGTTATATAAATTTTTTTTGAAACACTAGTGCATCTTAGATAATTAATATTTATTAATTTATTATAAACTGAAATTAATGTTTGAATTTTTCTTAATTTTTTTTTTTAATTATTACTATTAATTTAGCACCTTACGAAACTTTAAATGAGTTTGTGTTTTTTTCGACTAATTTTTTTTAATTTCTTTTTTTTGATTATCCCTTATTTAGTTATTATAATATATAAATGCGGGTCAGCTGTTTTAATGTCACTCCTGTCTTGCGTGTCGAGTAGTCATAAGTTTATATTTAAAAATAATCCATACATATAGATATAATATTTTACCAGTGCACAAAATGAGTGCTCAAGTGATTATAATATTATGAAAAAAAAAAATTGTTAATTGTGTTACATTATCCCGTGTCAACGAATCGTTTTTAATTATACGAAAACAATAAAAAAATTTTTTTGTATTTTTGATTCGGCTGCCGGCTGTTTATAATTTTTTTACTCTTACATCAACTAATGTAGTATGATATAGGTATAAATACTTACCATAATCGAGATCCAACACAATCCGTTTATTGATTGGTATTATTATATTACTCCGTGGACCGTGGTTATGTATATTATACCTATATTATGCTCTTCCAATTATTCCAAGTCCTTATTGGTTCTGTAGTAGGACATGACACGGATGACATATTGACATGTATTATACGTGTACAATCACTGCACTTGCGTTACGCTATACACCAATATCACTAGTTCACAGACTGGCGATACCATGTTTTGCCGGGCATTTACTTGTCAAGTTTTGAGAGGCCTCTCGTTATCGATTTAGAGCCTATTATGTATTTATATTAGACGGTATGATATACGTCTATTTTACTTTGAGCGTATGTATAGTATGTTTATTATGTATGAGATCCATTAAAATTAAAGATATATTTTACGTTATTAATTTTGTGGGCATCGTCCTTCCAGTAGTGAAATAACAGTTGGATGTAGGTGTTATGGCCTCGTGGGGTGCAGTGAGAAGCCAAAAAGTAATATATATATATATATATTATATACACGTACAATATTTGTTGAACGAAATAAAAAGTATTAACAAATTGTTTTCTCGTATAATAAATATAAAAAAACCACGGGTTCTTTTAATTTTTTCATTCTATTCCTTTTCCTCCTTTCACTGTGACTGACGTAACTTCAGTTCGTCAAATACCCAATTTTTTTTTTCAGGAATCCCGGTCGGAGTTTATAAATCCACACGCCGGAAACCCGCAACTTATCATAAAATATTTTATTCAATATTAACCGTAAATAATGTTTAGGACTTTTATTTCGTTTTTCTTTCGCTTCTTTACAATGTATGATGTTGTGTAGTGTATAGTATAGAAATAGTTGCCGTTTTCGTCGGCACATTATAATCATGCGTTCACCATTCGTCAAGGCAACGACATTTTTAATACCATGGTATGTCGTGACTGGAAAAGTAGGTATTGACTGCGATATAACTGGTAATTGATATGATCTACATATGTATATTCTTTGTATAATTGTTTATATATTATAATATAATATATAGGTAGGTGGGTTGGTGGGTATACAGAGACAGCAATAATACATTATAGGTTAGCTAGGTATTAGGTATACTATATAGATGTTGTGTGCACTATACTTTGTGCAATTAGGTATTATATATTAAAATAATGTGCGATTGTCTTGTCAATGGAATATTATATTCAGTAAAATCCGTCCTCGTGTAGTGAAGAAATAAATGTTACCCAAAATATATTGTAGAGTTAAAAAATAACATTTTTTTTTTTTTTTTTTTGAATAAGCCATTCACTGAATACTGTAGCTATCGATAAAAAATTAAAATATCATAATATATGTACTTAACATAATATCATCCCCGTGTGGAGGAGTGCGCACACATACACATTTTCTAAATAACTCAAACTCTGTGATAATATTGAAATAATTTTTAATGACAATGTATTATATAATGAAATAACGATGATAATGATGATAATGATGATAATGATGATAATAATAAATAAATAATGGTAATAGCGGTAGCAGGAGAACAATTCTAAACGCGATTATCCGCTGAACAAATCGAACGATTTGCGTAAAATGTAAAAATTTAAATACCTAATTTAATATTATTATTATTATTATTATTATACGCTTTTATACATAAATATATATTATTTACACGAACATGTACATGCATACATCTACATATTAATATTATATATATGTAATATTAAACTATCTAATTATTATTATTATTATTATTATTATTATTATTAAAAATTATTATTATTATTATTATATTTCTTCCGTAGATACTTTTTCTTTAACCGTAATTAATTATATTATATAAAAACGTACAACGAGCGTACGTAATAATATACTTATTTTGTACATATATATATATTAATATATATTTGTCGTTTTAAACGCCATTTTATTTACTTCTCTGTTACATATAATATAATGTTTATAGATATACCTATCATTTTAAGTAATATATTATATAATTTATTAATATACATATGTACCCTCCTATACGTTCAAACTTTATGAAAAAAAAAAACGTACATCATTACTTATAACCCCTACCCCGTTCCCCATCTCTTGTCACCGCGTAAGATCAAAGTCATAATAAAATCTCAAATGTTTTATTGTTACATTGATATTAATGTAAACGTGTTTTTTTTTTTCTTAAATTGTGTAGTTAACCAATATTTATATATATTATTATTATTATTATTATTATTATTATTAGATAATGCAATATTATTATTATTATTAGATATGATTTGATTTAACCTTTTTTTTAATTTTTTTGTAACGGGTTAAAATATCATAGCAGTAATATGTTTATTATTTACTGTTGTGTTTATCTTTACTACCTCATATACATCTATATATATATATACATATTATTACGATTTTTATTTTATATTTTGTTTGAATAATATTCTCTAAATTATTTTTCCTTAACATTTCTGTCAAATGTAATCTTATAATCTTTATATTAATTATATTAATCAATATTAATTTATCGCTTTTGTTCAAATTAAATTAGTTTTAGTTTCGTTTGTGTTTTATTAGGCGTCGTTCGCTTTTTCACGTATATAAGTGTATAATATTATGATATATTATGTTTGTCATTATTATCATTTACTTATTTATTTTCAACTAATTTTTTTTCAAATATAAGCGGTTAACATAAACAAAAAAAAAAATGTGTTACTGTACTTGTCAAGTATATAATTATTATTATAATATTTTTATCATTATTTGCTGGTTTTCGTTTGCTACACATGTTTCATTTTCCACGCGCGCATTGCTTTTACTTGATTGGTCAATAGGTATAATTAGTACCTATGTATATTTTTATTCCTGTTTTTCCATGCTAATAGACAATAGTATCTATACTAGTATATATTTAATACCATGTACAATACGCTCGCCTGCGTAGGTGGGAAATGCAAGAGCTTTGATAAAATAATTTATTACTCTACCACTCTTAGGTGTGTAATATTATTTATCCTTTCCTACAATATGTGAATTACTATACGAGAAGGTACACCTCAAACCACCAGACCAGATACCATCATATTATTAAATTTTAAATACAAGGTTTGTATTTTGATACTATGAATGAGTGGTATTACATTGGTATATTGTATGTTACTGTAGAGTATAATGATATATTTATGGTTGGAAATTAGGGGACCTACCTCTGCAGAGACTTGAATATATCAAAAATTTGTTATCACAAATTTATTTTTTAGCATAAAAAACGAAGATAAAATCTCCTTCACCAGACAAAAAATGATCATAAATATACCATTGGGTCACTATTCACTAACTACTGTGCGTATAAAATTAATGCAGAAAATTTACAATTAATTTTACTATATTATATATATATTATTCTTAGATTGCAGAAATTGCATTGATTTGAGTCATTTTGGTATAGAGTTAATGAACTAATTAAGAATTTAACGTTAAAAAGTCAACAAGAATAGTTTCTTAATGAAAGTCAAAAGTTCCAACCTAAATAGATTTAAATTGACTCGACCAATCATAAGTTAATTTTTTTTATACATAAATGATAATTAAAAGTTCAAACTTTTCAACCCAAATTTTTTTTTATTCTATTTATTGGTATAAAATGGCAATTAGTTGTTCGCTATTCGCTAATATCTTTATAATACTTAAAAGTATGCAAAAAAAAAAAATAATAGGTAATAATAATTCATTATTAATAAATAAATCTAGTAAAAATCGTAGGCAATGTGCAAAAAAAAATGTTCCTACTGTGTGATGGCCGAAAATCTATACATTTATGAACAAACAGTTCGTCAAAACATATCTACTTTAAAATAATTTAACTGAATTATAAAACATTCAATAAAACGAAAGAGAAACAAAAATATGTTTTATTAATTTGCAATAAAGTCGGTCATATGGCTTTTTCTACCTTAAAAAATTTTAATTGTTTATGTAATTATATAAGTAATCATTAAAATTATAAATGAATTATAAGGTAGGTTCCATCAAAAATAATTTTGTTTGCGCCTTAACAGGTAAAATATATAACTTAACTTATTAAAGGTGATTTGTTATGATTTTTTGAACTATTATTACTTCATAATTGGTTTTCTGAGCTCAATAAAAATTGCACAGGTCTACAAAAAACGCATCTGTTGTCACATAATATTAGTGAGTAGTTCAAGCCCTTATATTAATTATTTTGGTCAAAAATTATGAAAATAGAAAATAACTGATTAAAGTCACCAATATTTTTAGGTAAAATGAAACAGCTACTTACTTAAAAAAAATTTTAACATGTTGCAATGTTGGTGATTTCTACAGAAAACAAATAAATAAATAATATCTTTTAAAATAAAATGTATAGATGGTTATTATTAAGTTCAATCATCATTTATCGTCATTTTCATTTAAAAACACATTTTCACAGTAATACGATTTCTACAATAATATCGAAATATCAAATAGATAGGTAACTGGTAAGTATTTTGTAAATATATTTTTATGTTGGAACAAAATTAATTTATTGTTTCATTTTGCCTTTTGAAGTCAGGTAAAGTTAAAACCTGTTGACGCAAATCGGCTATTTCTGAGTAGTGCAATTTCACTATTTGAGCTAAAACACTACCAAATTGTAAAATCAAAAAAGGATAATTAGAAGATATTAGAAAAATCTAATAATAGATTTTTGTCTTTATATTCTCAAGAATGATTTTGAACTATAAAAAAAATATAATAAATATTGTTATTCATAGTTCAAATTTGTAATTTCATCAAAATTTGAACTTAAAATGTTTATGAAAAAAAAAAATATGCTTATACATTTTTTTATTTCAGTATGAACTACTTCTAAGGAACTTTGTATTAAATTGTCAAGCCTTAGCTATAAAAATTTTATATTTCATTCATTTTCTACTGTTAAATAATTTAAAAACTTTTATGATTTTAAATTTCAATGGTCTATAAATAACTTAAAAAGATCAGAAATATTTGTAATCAAGGTTATTCATTTTTTAATCACAACAAAGTATCAAAAATCGTTTGAAGAAAAATTATATTGGCTAATTATATTACCGGTAAATATATGATGTCGTTAAAATATATGAAATTTAAACAATTATAAAAAAGTAATTTGACTTTCCGGTAGAATTTTTTTATTAAGGTTGAAAAACTGACAAAAAACCTTTTATTAAATTTTTAAATTCTTTATTTATACAAAGAAATTTTTTTATGAATTTCCAACTACCTATACTAAGTAATTTGAAAATGTTCAAGGTTTAACGAATTTTGTCAAAATTCATAATTTATTAATAGTTAACAAAAAATATCGTGACTACGTACTTAAGTAATTTCAATGTTTTTTAATTAGTATATTAATGAGAAATATTGTTTTTAAATTTTATATTATGTATAGAAAATTATCTAACAAAATTTTTGTGTCATATCTAAAAAACAAAATCAATTTTATAATTTTTATCAAAAACTGAACTTCGTTCATTGAACTTTCGTTAATTGTTTCTAGTTATTTTGAGAAGTACTGGTAATTTTTAATTTTGACCACTCTAAAATACAAACTAGATCAAATTTTTTTTATCCGAGACCACCCTCAAAGTTAAAATCCGAAGCATTTTTGAATTAATAACTTATCATGTAAATTTACTTAAATGCACACATACACACCCACAAAAAACACATACATTCATTCATCATTGCTTTGTTTAGTGTGCTTAGAATCTATTAGATTCCATTCCATGATTTCCAAGTATCTACAGACCTAATAAATAAATGTATGTGGAAGGTACTATGGTAAAGTATTTTTAAAATAAATTGGTAATTTGTTTTTTAAGATAAATTTTAAAATCTAATAACAAATTTTGAAAATAGATTTTTGGATTTGCCCAATTATTCATACAATTAAATAATTAATAATTAAGTTTATAGCATAACAGCTTTAAAAACATGTCAATACAAATAGTAAAACAATGTTCATTATTTTTAAAAACAATGATATCTTAACTGGAATTTTAAACATTGTGTTTTATTGTGATGATAAATAAATTATATATATATATATATGTATATATATTTTTTTAACTTTTATAAAAATATAAAAACGTATATGATATATGAAGGTAACTAAAATAATAATAATAAAAACCAATTTAATTCATTCTATCTGATATAAATCATAGAAAAATAAACATATAAAACAGGATAGTCCTGTTTTTTTAATCAGAATTAAACGCGACGTATTTCTGTTTTTTATACGATTTTTCATCAAAAAGTGGTTTTAGCTAGAGACCATAGATAATTATTAGATTATATTATATATATTATCTAGACTCTCTAGTTTAAGCTATTGATTGATAAAAACGTCGTCTATAATAAATTGGCTTTAGATATTTTTCTATAAAATCTAATCATGTTAAGACGATTATTTTTAGTGTAGGTATTTATTTTCCCCGAAATTACGACGTAATCAATCGCCGATAAAAATAAATATTAATAACATTACAACAATAATATTAGTATAATAGTCCAAACACTAAAACGATTATTAATTAACTCTGTTTTCCGTTGTATATAATGTGTTCTTACATACATACATAGTGATTGAAAAAATATAAAATTATTTTTAATATGCAATCGAATTTATTTTTAGTTATAATTTAATTTTCGAATATTTCTTCTTTATTTTAACCTTTACTCTAAATTATTTAAGAAATTATTTAATTGGTATTTTCAATAAATTAAATATTACATAGGATAGTCTCGGTAAAGTATGTTGCTAAGTGCAGATCCACCGATGCCGACTGTACATATTTTTTATGCATAAATATATAGTATTAATATACATTGTTATTTGTTTATATATATAATTATTATAAAAAATAATTTCAAAAATTATCCTTGTAATGAATTTAATAATTTTTTTCTATTAAAAAATTAATTATTAGATTTAATAGATTTATCACAGAAATACGACTTTGTAAATTAGAAAAATTCCAGGCAACATCAAAATATTTGTAAAATTAATAAATTACAAAGGTACATAAGTATGATTTTTTTTATAACAGGTATATTATTATATAAAAATTTAATTACAACATAAATTATGTTGTCATGATATTATTGTTTTATGTTTTGACAATCGATACATTTTTTTTCTAGTCATTGCAAGAAAGTGTCCATTATTAATATGGTCACCTATTCTATCATGAAATATGACAGTAAAATTATATAATTTTTAGGTATCATTTGTACTAAATAAAAATTTGATATACAACACATAGAACACAAACAAAAAAATGTTTTGCAAACGGTATATTAAAATAATAGACATAGATATTTAGTCATAGATAAAAGAAAAATAAAAAATTATATTTAAATGTAAAATAATATTAAAATATTTTTTAAAAATTACTAAAAAAAACAAGTACAGTGCCTTGTTGTATTAGTATTTTATCTTAATTTTTGCAGAAATATACATTTTTTTATTAAATAAGTCATGAAACTTTTATGTTTTTTAGTAAATTAAAATTATTTTATCTAAAATAATTATTACAAGCATTTGTCATAAATAACTATATTTTTAATGAACACTTTTTTTTTTGTAGAAAAAAGGTCTTTTGGTTCTTTACAGGTACTAAAATTATAATAATTTAAAGTATAGCAAAAAACAAAATGAATCCTTCATTAAACATAATCTAAGTATTTAAAAGTAAACACATCATACATATTTTAGATAAGTTTTATTATTAACTTAAGGCACATATCTTAAACCTAAAGACTATCATTAATAATAATTTAGACAGTCTTTGTATATTACTTGTAAAATAGTTACATAATATATTATTTTATGTGAATTTATCATTTTAGTAACAAATAAATCCTATTACACTAAGTATCAAAAAAAAAACTAGGTGTATATTAAAAATTGAATACTAGGATTTCCAAAAATTTGGATTTAAATTTAATTTCCTCTCAAAGTTTTCATACCATTTTTGAACTAAGTAAAGTGGTACCATAGGTGTCTGCTGTGGACCACCATCAACTGCATAACTAGATACATAATTATACAAATTTTGTACCATTTTTTGAGTAAACTCTACAAATGTTGATACATTTTGTGCTGGTTCTATGCTGGTTGTTTGCAATTCAGCATTTAATAAAGGTTCAATGGAAATACCAATTTGAGCATTTATAGAAATGGATGGGAATTGGCTAAATGCATTTGTTGGTTGGTTTGTTACATCAAAATGTTGTTTCAAATTTGAAAGCTTAAAAATGGCAGACGGCTTGTTATTGGACAAAATACCTAAAAGTTGCCAATTCGGTTTTGCATTTTCATCTGGCCAACTGAAGTACACTAAAATAAAACAGACATAAATAAATATATACAATTTAAGTGTTACCTGTAATAATACAATTATTAAAATATTTATAACAAACTATTATTATTGTTATTTAAATACTATATTAAATATAGTAATTAGAGTAAATTTTACTCTAAATGGATTTGGGACATTCTTATATTTTAAATCAATTTTTAAACTTGATAAATTTATTTTATTAAACATAATTCAGTTATTTTAAATTTTTGTAGAACTGGTATTCCTATGTGTTAATTAAAATTCTATTAAAGTTTTATCAGCTTAATTTGCTTTTTTAAAGAAAAAATAATAATAATAAACATAAGAACTGAAATTGTTTAATGCTGTGTCAGTATAGAAACATTTATTAAATACATTTAATAATCTAGCAATGGAAAAATGTTTAGTTCAACATAATCAAGTATGGATTAGAATAATGGGAAAATAAAAACTTCCTCCAGCTATCCTTTGTGAAAGGTCACTTTATTAATATTTTTATAAAATAATATACATTGTAGGTATTTATACAAATTACGTGCTTACATTAAAATTGATCAAATGAATAAACTATGATACATTTATCATACGATTGATCCATTAAAATTTAACTGTAGAAATACATAATATCATCACTAATGACTAAAGTTGTTGAAAGCATTTATTGAGTATTGATAAAAAAATCAAATATATTAAAATTTAGTATGATTTTCACCAACTAATTTTAATAATTATGAAAATGGGTTTCCAAAAAATTCTATATCATACTAGATAGTGAAGTCTTGTTATTAATTTAGTTTAACATTGATTATCAGTTATTAATATATTTTGAGTAAGTAAAACAACATTATTATAATGCAATATGCATATTATGCATTACATAGTAAATAGAATATTTTACTACAAAAAAGTAGAAAAACCACAATAAAAAAATGATTCTGTTTTTTATTTTTATGGATCTCACAACTAAAAACCAAAAAAAATTTGAAAAAATAAAGAAAGATTAGTCAAATGTTTAGATACTGTTATTAAGGTAATTCAGTTTGTTGAACATAAAGTTACTGAATTTACAATACATTTTTCTTCTATTACAGTTCAATTAATAATTTTAACAAAAAATATTAGATGTTCCAAAAAAAGTTTATTAGATAGTTACAAATTATTAGATTTGGTGACAATTAGATATAAAGAAATACTTAAAAATGTGTTAACATTTTATTACTAAATGTTAAAACAAAAATTTCATGATTGTCAGTAAATTCTGTTTATTAACCAAGTTAATTTTATTTAATAATGTTACCTTTGATTTTTATTTATCATGTTTTAAATATTTTCAGTAGTGCATGTTTTTTAAAATTAATAATTGATAAATCAAGACAATATAATTGACAAAAAGTATGGTTTGTAGGTAAGTACCTATTAATATAAAAAAAATATTATGAATAAGAATATTTGGTACCTATTAATTTATATTTTAACATTTAATACTTAATTGTAGCTTTTAAAATAATACAAATTATTTTGTACAAACTTTTGTGTAATTATTATTTTATTTTACTATTTAAAATTATTATTTCTAATACACTCTGTATGAATGTTATGTTTCATTAACCAAGAACACAAAGGCCATTTAATCAACTGTCTTCAAAGTTTGCAATAGTTATCAAACATTAGAGTATCTTATTTAATATCAGTGGTGTAATGGTAAATAAATTTATGGGTATACACACCTAAAAGTAGTATATTATAGGTACCTTAAAAATTTTCTCACTTCGCTTAAAATATATTAAAGCTTATAATAGTGTTTAATAAGCTTTATCTTTTATAACAAACATTCCCTATTCACATGTATAATATGTATCAACGTAAATAATTTTTAACTGGCACACTTTTGAAATTTAATTTTGCTTATTTATTTTTTTATAGTTTATAAATTTATTTACTTTATCCAACAAATATTTGTATAACTGAGAATTTTTTTTTATGTTAAACCAAAGTTGCGATTTTAATAATAAACAGGATGTAAACAATAAGATTTGATTTGAAAGTGAGAAATATTCTAACAGCATAAAATTCACTGGAATACCCGCTATGGACGCATACATTTTAAACTAATAATATTGATATTAATAATTGGTACTTAAACTCAACAGACAGTATATACGCTCAGCAGTTTCTGAATTCCAAACTTCAAATGGGGTCGAGGCTATTTTTGGACAGCCTAATTGTGTACATAATAAAATAATAATTGTATATTATTATTATTATTACTATTTATTTTATGACTAATGATAAACTAGAAGCTTGTACATATCCATAAATGCATGCATTTTCAGTTGACATATGCCCATAATAGACAAATTTTGTTTAAGGTATACGCATAAATCCAAAAATAGGAATCCTGGTATACGTTGTATACTCTCCAATACACCAATCAAATAAGACAACTACTTATTGGGAGTTGGGACAATTCTTCAATTGCCAAAATAAACTTATAATTATTATAACATAAGCCTAAATACTCACAATATATCTGGGCCATAAAACAGGAAAATCCAAACATTTTTATCAAGTAAAGTATTTTTGAAGTAATTTATATCAAGTAAGAAATTAAGCACAATCAAATATTTATTTTATTCCTAAAATTTAGATAAACATATACTTTTTTTTTTTTAAATAAGTATGTATTTCTTGTAAGAATTATTATTTCATACTTACATTAAAGTCATTATACATATATTTATTAAGTTATAAAATTATACTTTTATATGTATTAATAAATCAGTAACCAATCACCAAAACATGTGTATGCATCATTTAATTACTTTGGATTATTGAAACAAAATAACATGTAACCAATGTGTCTCAATACAGAAGTGGAGTACCTACCACATTAATAATTTATCAAAATTAGGATATAATTAATTTCTATTATGTGCTTAAATATTTATTTTAAAACTAGGTAGATTTCAAATACTGATTATCAATTTTAAAAGTTATTAAAATTTGCTTGCAAAATTTCCTATTATAGCTTTCAATAAAAATTATCCATTAATACAGGTTTTAACCAAGTTTAGACACTTAAGAAGTTAAAATAAAATTGTTTCACATGAAGTTCAACTATTAAGTATTAAATATTTTAAATAATAATTCTTTAAGAATAATATTACATCGTTTTTAGATGTTATGAATTATATTTTAGTATTTAACTATAAAATTATAATTTGTTTAGAAGTTATGACATATTCTTACCTGAACCAGCTGTTCCCTCAGGAAATGGCACAAGACCGGTCAAAAACACACAAATGTAATTTACAGATTCAGCAGAGTTGATAGTTATCATAAATTTTGTTTCTTCTAAACGTTCAAAATCTGTCCGTACCTAAATAATAAACATTTTCATGGTGAAAATATAAAAAATAGATATAGAAAACTTGTTTCCATAGATATCGAATAAAATTTTTTATGGAAATCTCATACAGCATAGTCAGATAGGCCACAAATTGTAAACAACCATCAGATTACACAATTAAAGTACTCACCAGTCTTCCGCTGACTAATAAGCCAAACATAGCAGGCACTGCGTCCACCATAGTAACAAATCACCTTGCAAAATCACTGTCAAACGAAATTGATCAGATCGCCAAATAGTCAAATATATAATAAATGGATCGGACTCGCGTCAAACAGGATAGTAGTATGGCTGGACGATTGCACAATTCAAATTACGTGTAAAAAAAAACAACAGCGAAAATATTAGCTACAAGAGCAGGTTTAAGCGTATTTTAGGAATATTTAATTCGAATCACATGAGGCTGAAGAAAAAAGAGCAGAAGAGTAGCATACTACAGAAGAAGTATAAAAGAGACGAGTTTAGTGGCCAGTGAATGATCTAGAAAGTTCGCGATCAAACAAATTTATTATCGAGGTTTACACGCTAATACTACAATTTCATGACAGATAACGTGATAAAAAATGCAGTGTCGTCCGTTCGGCACATCCGCACATGTGTGTGCCTCGTGATAAGGTGAAATGTGATATAAATTTTAATTTTTTATCATTGATAATTGATAGTAATAACTAATAATTAACAATTGCCATTTTAAATACTTAAAACCCAAATTTAAATTTTTGGAACTTTTATGTATTTTGGAATACTATATTTTCAAGTACGTTATGTATTTTATGATATATCTGTACAAATATTTTTTAATTGAGAACTTTTTCATTGATTTTATACTAATTGTTAAGCCATTATTTAAAAAAAAAAAAATAAAATAATGTATTAAAATTAAGTTTCAAACAAGTTATTTCTAAATATTATACCTTATTTACCCCAAGTGTATTATTCAATATTTAAATGCATTCAGTTATATTTATCTTTAACCATTTACATTTTAAAGTGGAATGTCAAATACCTATCATACTATTGCAACACAAAGAGTCCAGCAGATGATACTACAGTACCTATTTATATAAATAATTAATTTTGAGTTTGCTGTCAAGTTTTTAAATTTTGTTCATCACTATCATTTGTTATGTGTAAAAAGAAAAATTATTTAAAGTGTAGTTTTAAACTATATATGATTAAATAATTCTTTCTTTTCATGCATTGCAAATAGGAATAATACAATAAAGAAATAGAAAACATAAATGTTGAATGTGGGTATAGAAAAATTACAGTAAGTCTTAAAAAAAATTTATGAGCATATTATTTTTAACTAATTGCTGAAAATGCATTTGATAAATGTTTAACATACTTAATAAATACTTACATATCAATTATATTACAAAATGTCTAAATTTATAATATCATAAATAAATAAGACCACTAAATTGTCAAATTGTATGTTTTGATATGGTAAAACCTATTAAATTTAACAAAAGGTTCTGGATACCTAATATCACAATTATTTAGTAGTTAATATAATTCTATAATATATTTTTACTAGTATATTATTTACTATTGATTAATAGATGAAAATATAACAGCCTTGTTTTTTTCCAAGTGCCTATTCTTGATAATCCCAAGTTATTTGCGAGGAAATGTAATACACTTTAGACATTTTTTTGTCACATATTAAATACATTTAGAATTTGTTATTTTGAATGATTGTATTTGTATTATTTCAAGTATTAATTAACTATTTTAACTATACTTCAACTTATTTAGCTTATAAGTTGTAACTATTTTATTTTTTTTTTATTGATATAAATTTTGGAAGAGTTACATCCAAATTCTTAAATTTAAATTAAGGTATTATTATTATTTATTATTATTTTCTTATAATTTAAGTTGTATTAAATCTTATTAGTACATTCAAAATATGTCTAATGAAAATGAGAAATGTATAATTTACAAAACCCAATATTCTTGTAGACCTACTTGTGTATGACACCAGCTTTTGTATTTTTTAAAACATTATTAATGAAAATCTTAGTTAAGAAGGTTAATTGTAAGCTATATGTACTGCAGTACTCATTATTTTATAAAAACATTAAATTGCACTTAGGTTTAAGGACATTAACTAATTTGAATGGCATTAAATTATAATAAAACATAAAAATATTTTAATAATTTCTTATTTTTTGTATTTATTTAATTTTATGATTTTTAATTTAGACATATAACTTAAGAATTTACATAATAACAATTATGTAAAAGTTCTTAACATGGGTATTTCTTGTTTAAGTAAAATAGATAATTTTTATGTCGATACATTTCATTAAAATAAAAATTTCATAAAATCAGTAATAGGTATTAAATAATAATATGAAAATCACTTTACAACATGAAATTAAGACTCAAGAAACAGAAAAACATAAGAAAATAATCATAATAATATTTAACAAAAAATGGATGATTATGATAAGCAATAAAACAACTCAAATTAAATCTTTGAGACAACTTTCTTTATGTATCACTGGCATCGAATACATATTTCAAATAGAGTGATTGTTCTTCTTATTATTAGTAGGTTTTGATTGAAAATAGATTTAAAGTGTAGTGAAAAAATGTTTTGGTTGTTTTTAACTCGGCAAAATGATTTTACATATATGTGATTGTTTATCGGCTACCAAGTACCAGTACTGCCATTCGAATTTTGAATGTTAAATATTAAGTGATTTGAGATTTGAAAAGTTAAAAAAAAATCGAACTTAAATTTATAAGACTTGACGCTACTATTATGTATAGTATAATATAGGTAATATCAATGAATTTATGTATCAATATACTAATATAATATAAAATAATATTGACCTTAATTAGTTTAATTATTATTAAGTCTTAATTTTAAAATAACCACTATTTTTAATCATTTCAATATTATAATGTTATTCTAATAAATCTGAAAAACTGGAATGGAAGATAGTGGTTTTCAAAAATGTAAACGTTTTTTATAAGATTTAAATTATTCAATAAATATAATTTATTTACATGTATTAAATTATTAAAATAATAGCGGGAATACAATTTACAGTTAACTACTCCGTTGTCGTGAATAGTAATCAAAACATTAATGTGTTTTATTTGTACCTAGTATTTGTTGTTTATTATATGTGTATGATATACTTGAATTCGTTTTGTGAAGTGATGAAATTAATTACAAAACTTGACTTTATAAATTTTGACATATTTTAGGAAAAATATACACTTCATAGGTACCTATATTTTAAAATTTATTTTCGTTTGCTAAAATTGTGTTTGAATTGCGTTTCGGACATAATAAATTACAAAATAAATTATATTTATTTGATAGGACGTCACAACCGCATGTGTTGTCTCTGTCTCTGATTATGTTGATCTCGAGATCTTGAATTTGAATTTTTTATGTAAAAGAAATAGATTTTAATGTTTGAACCTGCAAAGACCGTTTGGCTTTTTGGCGTTTTAAACGCAACGGCCAACGACCGCTGGAGGTGCGATTAACGAGTACCGTACTACCGTGGTACAGTTGATATACCTCCATAAGCATAGTGTTTTGTGTTTTCTCCAAATGATATAACTAGTTATCACTAATCACCGTTTCCCAACGTGTGCAAAACGTTTCTATCGGCCGAATATAACATTATCCCGCGTTAGTAACGATACCACGATACCCGTCAAAATATTGAAAACAAATAATGAGTAATGTGGTTTAATAATGTTAATACGATCTAATGCCTTGTTAGTAAGTACATACTAGTTGTATAGTATTTTAATTAATTTTAGTTTTGAACAAAATCTAAGAGTTTTTCGTCGTCGATGATTTGTTTTCCATCCATATTTGAATAACCAAGCACAGATAATTGTTATACGTTTATTAATTTTTTTAAGACGTTGCATTGATGTTATTTTCATTGTTATGATATTTTCTACAGGTAAATTTATAATATATTTATAAGTTGGCGGATCCAATAATGCTTTGCTATTGTTAAATTTCACCATAAATATTTATGGATTAAATGAACACAAACAAACATTTGATACCAATTGTTGTATTTAGTTTAAATTAAATGTTTACATATCTTTACATTATTATTATTAATTGTACACTGTTGTCTGTAATCAAATACATATATGAACAAAAATTTATTCAGTTTTCGTTAAACATAATTTATGTGTAAAGTACTAATATAGCTATCTATATTAGTTGAAAAATTAAACTACTATCATTTACTAATTATCAAAAATTCTTTTAATATAACTTTTATTGTAAATGGTCTTGCAGTTTTTGAGTCTATGGTGGATAAAGAAACTTACAATAATTTAAATATATAGGTGAAACACAGCTCATTGGGCATTAAGGTTTGATGAGTGATTTATTATTTGGAACGTACTACATACATAGAAAAGAATAAATTGTGTTTTTAAGTGTTCCTCTTATAATTTTTTTATAATAATAATAAACCATAAAAGAATAGCATTCAAAAGTCTTGATTATGCCATTTATTTTTTGTTTTTTAAAATTGTGCTTTAGTTCTAGAATAGTTTGTTAATTTATAATTGAGCTGCATTATATATTTTTCCTATTGTAAATCTACCATATTGAAGTTTTTAAAGATTGCTTGTGTTCATTTTACCTAATTTATTAATTAATTATTTTTTTGTATCTTTTTAACATTATTTGTTTGTTTTTTAGAAATATAAAAATGGATCGTTTTACCATAGGTATGGAATTATTTTTTTGGTATAAGCCAATGTGTTAAAAATAAAGTTATATTTTTTTTTCAGAACTTTGTGAAATTATTCACGGTTTAGGTGAAAGATTACCACGCATAGATACCGTTAAGATATTTAAGTCGGTATTATTAAAACAAATGATCTTGTTGATTCACCAACTTAAAAAAGCTGCAATTTTACATAAACACCAGTATATATCTATCAAACATATACTATATGTCTTAAAAGATTATAAGGTCACTCTTATTCGAGTTCTATTATACTATTGTAAGAACTTATAACTAATTAAACGCTTATAAATGCACCTAAAAAAATATAAATAAATAAACCATAGTTTTACAAAATGTATTCCAGTTATTTAAAATGTATTATTAATTTACTAATATATATTATGTTATTGTTATAGATTTAAAAGATATTATCAAAAAACTCAGTAAATTAGGTAATACTGAAAACTCAGAAACTAGAAAAATAAACGAAGAACTCCAAGATACGTTTAAAAATGAAATTGTTGGAAGTATTACAAATGTAGAAGACGATTTATTACAATCAGGTATTATTTGGTTTATGTTTCATAATATGATTTTTTCAATTAAAAAATAAAATACATTATTTAATTTATTAAGTTTAATAAGTTTTTAAACATTTATATTGTTTATATAAATACAAGTAATAGTAGTTATTTTATATACTTAAAGTTTTCAAAAAAATCAAGTAAATGTAATTAATGATAAAATAGTAATTTCTATCATCTGATGATTGATAAAATGATTTTTAGATCCAGCTGTTGCCTTAGCAACTATTGATTTTACAAAAAAAGACTTATCATCTGATAGCAAAGATTTAAAATGTATTTTTTATAAGCTTCGGAACACAATCGTAGATTTGAAATTAAATATAAATATAACTGAAGAAGAAATAAAAAAATGTAATGAAGCACGTGTAACAAGAGCTAATGATATATCAATTTTGCTATCTGCAAGGTATGACAATTGTTTGTTACTGTTTGATGTAAATATTTGTATCTATATATTTATTGATTTTAGGGGATATGAAGGATTTGAAATATGTAGAAGAAAAAGTTTTCATGGTAGTTTAGGAGAAAAATTATTGTTACAAGTACTGGAAGTTCTTCCATGGAATATTACTTTAAACAGTCAAGTTAAAGATATTCTTTTGTTTTTAGCTAAAGTAAAGTTTTTAAAAATAAATACTTAAAATACTAATTATTACAATAGATTCAATAATTTAATTTAATTTTAAACACTATCCATTAACAGGAAACAATTCATAGTCTCATTGATCGTGTGTTTGAAAAAAGAAGATGTAAAGATAATTATGATGAAAATAATTTATCTGCCATTAAGGTAAACTTATTTTTGATGATTATCAAAGTTATTGCTAATGACTTTTTATGTTTAGAAAATAAAATATAGATCTATTCTTGTTGATGAAGTAACAAACGTCACTATGGCTGTCTGGAAAATTCCTTTGCAGGAAATCTATTACCCCTACAAAGAAGACGATACTATTTTTGATGAACAATTGATTTTTGATTCATAAACAATATTTCTATGATAAGTAAATATTATTAAATATTTATGTGATGTTTATAGCATGTTTAAAAATAGTAATAAAGTTATGCTATATTAAAACTAAATAGAATCTTGAAAACTATATCAACTAACATAATCTAAATAAGAAAAAAAATTGGTCATTACAATTATATATATATATATATATTTGATTAAAAATAAGTGATATTGTGTATAATAGTTTAATTTATAATTTTATGGTTAAAGTATAGTTTTGATAAATTTTGTATTTTTTTTTTTTTAAATCAATTTAGCTCATAATTACTAATATTTACTTGGATATTGTTTAATTGTATAATATAATTGAATTGTTTTGAAGTTTTTAAAACCCTAAAAATTTATATTTTTCTTTAAATTCATGTAAATAATGAAACAGAATAATTTATTAAATTATATTTCTGTCATATCTACTGCTAACAATTTTACCCTTTTATTACATTTGAAATATATTTCATTATTATTATTCATACAGTATTTTAATTTAAAAAAAAAAAAATGATTTTTATTATTTGTTTAAATTTATAATTTTACTATAATAATTATTATTATTATCATAGTAATATTTATGTTTTGTATATTTATAAATTATGCTTTTTAATTGACAATTATTTATTGTAAAAAACATACAGGGATATAATATTCAATGATTCTGATATTTTGTGATAAAAATTTAATTATACTTTAAAATAAATTCTTTTACTATTTTCAAATTTGAATTATTAACATGATTTCATTTATATTGTTAAACGATAATTATATTGCTTGTTATCATTTAATACTGTATTTATGTATTATTGGTTAATTATTTAACTATAACAAATATTTTTAGTTTTGAAGTATCGTACACTATTTAAACTTAAGCAGATAAATTTATATTTTTATTTAAAAAATAATAGTTAGTAGAAATTGCTAAAATGTGATACATAATCAGTAATGTTATCTTATTGTGTGATTAATTTACTAATTATGTTTTGTTTTAAATTAAGTATTTAATTATAAGATTGACTGATTTACTTTAGTATTTATTTTATGTTTATTTATAAGCATCAATACATGATTTATAATGATAATTGATTATTTTTCAAATTATAATTTTAGATATATAAATAACCTTAGATTTTTAATTACTAAGATTGTTAAGATAGTATTCTACTGAATCATTTATATTAAACACAGTTTTATATTTAATTTTTTCATTATTTTCCACTGAATTTTATATACCTAATGTATTATTTACACAAAAAACAATTTTTATTCTTTATGTGATTATGTGAACATTTTATAGTTTTATGTGAATAGATATTTTCTGAATTCATAAACCTATATATATATATAGCGTTTTTTTTATTTTTATTATTGGACTTAGGTCCAACAACTAGGGCCGTTGGCTGTTATAGGGGTTATAAACTGTGGGTAGGGGTAAGGTTGGTATGGTAAGTTGTTTTTTTTTATGATTGTTACGGTTGAATAGTAAACACATGGATGTGTGGCAAGGTTTTTAACCACTATGAACCCAGATGATCATCCATCCAAGAGCTAGTAGCTGTGGCCATTACTTACTCCCAGTCGCAAACCGCGATTGGTAGCACCCAACACGTCATGCCAAGCCACCGTATATTATTGTACGTAAATGCATTTAGCTACTATTTTGTCCATTATCAATTTATGCAATTCACTTTATAGTTTCAACTAAAGTATTATAAAAGATAACTTCAGGAAACCATTTCTTTTCTCGGTTTTCTTATATAGTACAATTTTTACAAAAAAAAAAAAAAAAATGAGCTGTTTTTAATATCTGAGGTAATTGAGTGTGTATAGGTACTTTTTTAGATTTAATAAGTTATCATTTTTAGTTACCAAAAACTTCTGTATTTACCCAATTTGTTAATTTATTTTTTAGTTTACATATCTATTTATTTACTTTTATTTTTACATGTCTATTTGGTAATTAGATTATTTATTTATTTTTTGTTATGCCAATTTCATATATTAATATATAATATTAGATTTAATGTTTGCATATAAAATTATTATGTCATAGTTGTATTTGTATGATGAATTATAAAATGATAATGGGTTTTTAAGGCTTTGGTATATGGAACTCAAATAAATCAACCTCATAACAAATAAATAATGAATTATATGCAGATGTTTAGGATATACAATAAAATATAATTAACAAACCATAATATATATATATATTTTAAGAAACTGAAAATTTTATTCAGTAAAGTTTTTACAAATTTAATATATTATATAATCATAATCAAACAAATTTACAACTATTATTTATTTATTTACTGTTAAGTAAAAACTTATAAATCTAACATATAGAACTATAAAATTATACATTGATACATCCATATTACATTACCATGTTTCATACAATAAATTACAATATTTTTTTATTATTTGTTGAATATGGGCAAGGTGTAATGTACAATAAATATAAACTAATACAATGCAAATTAATTTAAATAGTCAATAATACTAATTCAGAATTATATGAACTAAAATTGTGCGTAGTAATAAATATGGTAAGTCAATGATATAAGACTAAGTAAAAACAATTATATAAATATTTAATTAAAAATGCTTATATTTATAAGTTATAACATCCTAGTAAGTAGATAGCTTATATAATATAATTTATTCATTATAATGTAAAGTTCCATTGATATTATTGCAAGTCATCTTTTTTTTATTCACAGTAGAAAGCCTAATCTTAGACGATATTTGCTTTAAGAATCCTAACACCTAATGAGCATTATATTTATGGATGAATTGTGTGGACTGTGGATGCCAGTTGGTAATTTGGATTGAGATTAAAAATAAAATTTAAAAGAGTTAATAATGTTCATATTCTTTTTTACTATCAACTGATAGTAAAATAGTATATATTTTACAATACAACAGTGGTTAATGGTAACAGTCAAAGATAATGAACACATTAATAAATAATAATACATATTGTTTTTAAATCTTTTCGAATTTTCGAACTATTTTTTCCTTGTTTTTTTTGTTATTTTTTATTCAGTCTACCCTGAACTTATTGCATTGAATGTCCACCAAATTTCTTTGAACTATTAATAATAAAATTAAAACCATAGTTTGGAAAATTAAGTGAAACGTAATAACTTTTTTTTATAATAATAGGCATGTAAAACATATGTCCTTATAATAAATATTTTTTTAAATTAGTAAATAACTATTTTAATTTTAGAAGTAGACTTTTAATTTTTGATTTGTGAATGGTTTTAATATTTTATAATAATAGCTTGAAGTTATCTCAAATATTTTCATTTGATAATGAAACAAAAAGACTTAACTCAATTATAATTTGGAATATTTGCTTTGATTAATCTGAGATTGTAGGTAATAAGTTTTTATTGTTTTTAATATAAAAATGAACGTTCTGTCAAATAACTGCCGCAGCGTAAGCACAAAAATACTAATTACGACCAGGGCCGGATCTATTATATTTATTATATTCTTGGGAAATTTCTATTTTTAAATTTGTAGAAAACCAATAGGCGATAAGAGACGATGATGTTTTCGCGAAATTTTGCTGTTGTACGCCGTAGTTGAATAATAAAGATCACTGATTAAAGATAGCAACTGTCATGAAAATAAATAGATACTATTTATCGTTGAACTACTTGAACTGTCTAGAGTAAAGTTGTAGACGCGTTTTAGTTGTATGACTGAGAATGGCCTTCAAGATAATCATACAATAAATTGAACTAAAGAACACTCAAAAATAATTACGTAAGTAAATTTATTTTTTATATTATAGTTTTTAAAATATATCGAGGTTTAACTGAATTCCTTAATAGAATAATTAATTAATAATTATAGTATAATATTATTGTAATAACTAATATTGTATTATTTAAATCGATTATAGTAATTATGATTGTAGACAATTTCAAAATATAATTTTTATAGTTAGTTTTATGTTCAACAATTATTACACTCTTAATTATGTACAGAATTGAACTGGCGTCCAAACGCCTAATCTGTGATCTGATCAAAGGGCCTTTAGGTTATATAAATACTGTTAACTTCGCTCTCCTTCATTTTTGTAATTAATTAAGATAAAAATTAAGTATAATGAAAAAAACACACATTTTATAATAATGCAAATTATAGACAAAAAATAAAATAAAATAATATTTTATATAGGTACACTTTAAATAATATATATATAGGTACAAAAAAAATTTTTATTTATAAATAAAATAATTTATAACAATTTATTTGATTTTAATAAACATGAAACCATAGGCAGCACTTGGCTCTTATTATAGAGGGGGCCAAAATTAATCATAATTTACTGACCTATTTAAAAATATTCTCATATTCAACTTATCTAATACATTCCACCTGAAGTTTTACTTCTTATTATCAAATAAGATCAGATGACATTTCACACTTCTATATTTTTATATTTTATATTTAAATTATTTCCCTGTCAAGTACCACTAATGGGTGGCTTCTTATTCCTATTTTCATTGTATTTTTGTTCTGTCATTACATACACTTATTGTGTTAAATAATACAAATTGTGCATATCTTAATAAAAATAAAAAAATTAAATAATAAATATAAAGGTACTTATACTTTTATTTTATAACTGATAAGACTATTAATATCAATGTAATATGTTATTTCATGTTTTAAAAGTAATCATTATATTATATTAATAGGTATCCAAAGTTTAAATTAGTTTATATTAATTTGTGGTAATATTGATAATATTGATCTGAATTAACATGGGAAATAATTTTCTTGTATAATTGTACAAAAGTAGTAATTTTAACACAAATATTTTATAAAAATTAAAAATTATTTAAATAATATTTAACTTAAAAGGGGGGCAAAAAATGATAAGCTTGCCTTTCAATATTTTTTACCTAATACATTGAAAGTACAATGTAAACAGTTATTAGCTACATATTTTACAATTATTGAATGAATCAACAGTTAATGATACTTGGTCTTGATCTAAATCTAATTCATGTTCATAAATAGGAGGTTAGGACTCTTCTCTTAAGAATACGAATGTGTCTTTAAAAATTTTATTAATAGAATTAAACTGTAAAGCGAATTGTTGTAATTCATATGCTAGCGTATTTTTATTTTATCAATTGTTGTTAGAAGTGAAAATTCTAGTAATGCATTTGTAAGTACTTTATCTTTTATAGAACTAATGTATTTTAGATCCAAGCAAATGCAATTACTAAGTAATTTTGAATTATTTATCTTAATTCTTCATATATTCGATACGTATCACGATGTGTGTGATACAACTAAGTACAATAAAGACTCCTCGAATTTTCTCTCCTTTTTCCCCCCGGAGATGAGTAGTATTTACTATTTTTCATACAATCATTATGTTTTTGTGTTTCAGTCAATTTTCACGATATTTTCACTACAATAAAGTAGACATTTTGTAGTTTTTGTTAAAAAAAAAAAAATAAATGAAAAAAAAATAAAATAAAAAACAATAATAATTTTCATAATTTAAATACTTCATATTTTTCTTACCAGTTAAAACATGATCAAAAATTATAAAAAATAAAGTCAATCAATTTTTTTTTTTATATAAAACTAAAAATAATATTTTTCTTTATTCATAATAAATAATATAATTTAGTTATTAGCAAAATATTCAAATATAAAAACAAACTCATAAAAAATAATAAAATTACTGGGAATTCCTAAATAAAATATTTAATATAATAATTTTTAATTTAGAGAGCCAATAATTATTTATGGTATATTTTTCAAAACAATGGTCAACACAAAACGGTGTATCACACTGCTTGCAATAAAATGTAGTCTCTTTCTTTCTCTTTTACCACTTATACATTTTATTTTGTTTGCACAAACTTGACAGATTTTTCTAGAGTTTTGTTTGATGCTGTTGATGGTATATGTGCAATAAAATGTCCTGTCAGCCGATTCATAATCGTATCATTATAGTTATTTTGATTATAACCACTTTTTCTGTCATTTGTAAGCCCAAATTAATTTTAAATGTCCTTAATGTAATTTTTGTGTGTTGATTTATTCTGTTCTTTATATGTAACTATTCACAACTGTTACCATAAATAAATGAAAAAACATTTTTTTCCCTCCATTTTAAGCTTTTTCTCTAAAATTAATAATATGAAACCATTTGATCTCCGTGATCAACAGTTGTTTTATTTTTATTGTAGTCAATAAAAGTTTTAAGTTTAAACTTTAGAAGTTCACCAGTTTTATACCTACGGAATGAACTGATAATGACATCATAATTTTACCTAAATAATATAACTAAATTTACACTATATTTTCAGATAAAAATTAGCTAAAATATAAAATTATAAAATTGTAAGTATAGAAAAATTAAATTTAAAAAATAAAAAGATGCACAAATGTTTATTTTATTTGTTAAAAGCTATTACAATAAAAATAAATAAAATATACTATATGAAAATGCAGCAGGCGAAACTAAAGTTGAACAGCTATTAGACCACTACAGATTAAATATAAAAGAAAAGATAAATTATCTTTTTAAGGAATACAATGATGGTAGTGGCCAGTTAGAATATTCCATTTTTTTTAAATGCTATAATATTTTTAATATTATTAGTAAAAATTTGTCAGAGAATGATTTAATTTTAAACTTTAATATCTTTTCTAATAAAAAATGAGCTTAGTTGGAAAGTCTAAAATATTTAAATAATTAGAGTATTGGAAAAAAATACCCAAGTTTTATAAATTGGTTTTGTTAAAAAAATCGATTATTTTTTATATTTTTTTTATTGTAACTCAAAAATGACAATTCATTTGTATGTAAGTGGAAAGTTAAGTGGAAATAAATATTGATTTATTTTTAATTGAAGGTTCAAATTATTCAAAGTTATTAAATGTGTTCAATATAAAAACAAATTGTGCCTGTATCAAAGCTAGATACTAACTAGTTGGTCTTATTTCATGATAACTTTATAACTTAATAATTTGAATTTTGTAAAGTAATCTAATCTAACATGATAAAAACAAAAAATGACTAGTTATTTTTTTTTTAATTTTTCTTTACCTACTTAGAAAATCTCCATAAAATGTAAAACTGTTAAGAGCCAACTGGTTAATAATTAATATTAAATGTTCTGATGATGTTTGTTTTAATGCATGGTTAAACCAAAGTTATTAATATAAAATACACAGTAGGTATTAATACCTGATTATTAATTAATGTAATATTATATTATATTTAAACAAGTTTTCACATTTATATTATAAGATTATTAACTTTTATTCTAACTTATAACTAATTTAGGATATTTTAAAAACTTAATTTATATTTTAACATATTAGCTCAAATGTTTAAGTAACTTAATTTTACTAGTTAAAAAAAATGATTAACTTGCCCAATTTTATCAAACAGATAATCAGTTAATTTATTATTATTAATATTATAAATTATAGTATTGTATCTAAATTGATAAGAAACACTTTTCAAACATTTTTATCTATAACAATGGTTTTGATCTAAAAATTAAGCACCCTGATTAAATAATTTATAATTAGTTAATGAAACAAATTGACTTAAGCAAATTAAGTTAAATTGTTATTAAAAATATTGAGCTATATCGATTCTTTATTTGTTAAGTTAATAGGTTAATCACACAATTAACTATCTAGTTAACTTAAAAAGTTTACATTTTTTTTTTTACTTGTCATTGGCCACCTTTGTGCGATAAGTAATTTATTACTAACAAAAACATATCTGTTTTTAGTGTTAATTTAAAGATTAAAACTTAAAATCTAAATTTATAATTATATATAGTTTAAATATAATTACAAACAAAAAACTATGATGTTGAGATGTCTAAGTAAAATAACTGGTTAAGTACATTATAATTGTTATAGTAAAAATTAAATTATTTGGAAATTTTACATATATAGATTAGATACATAAACTATATTAGTTGTGATTTATGAATTTATTTATAACATTTTAAATTACCTTTCTAATCTAGTGTAATAATAAAACAATTTGAAGTACAATTTCCCTTTTTATAAGATTGATTAAAATATATTAAATATTAAGGTTAATTTCAATTAAAAAATACAACAAATTAAATACATATAATATGTAGTTTGAAAAAAAAGTATAACAATAAAAATTATACCATTGTTGTACTTAAATATTTTTTAAACTGAATTTAAATTAGACAAAAATGGGAATGTATTATAAATTACTTATTTATTACTTTATTAATGGGTGGTTTGAGATGAGTTTCTTATTTTTTCTTTTGTTGATTTGTGCCTAATAATTAAAAAAAAATATATTAAAATTGTAAAATATTAGAAAATTAATTTGGGCTCAATTGTTGCATGGAGATAAAGCTTAAACTTAATTTACCAATAAATTGTTGACCAGTAATGTTCATGGAACGATAGCCTAAATAAAGTAAAATAGTCAAATTAATATTAGTTATAATTTATAAATATGTATTGAATAAACTAACATAATAATAAAATTACCTGAGTGTCCAGAAGTTGTAGCGCAATTGTTTGAAGTATAACATGGATTAATTGGGGGACAGCCATAAAATTGATTCGGACCCCATTTGTTGGTTCCTTTAAAATTCAGTTCAATTAAATAAAAATTAATGTTAAAAAATATTTACATTCAAAAATAATTCAATAACTTACTAGGCTGTTCCATTTTAGGAATGTTCCAACCATAACTTCCACCTCCTTGGTTGAAATATTCTGGATAATTGTTATTCCATGGATTTCCATAGTATTTCAAGGCATTTATATTACTTCCATATTCACCATTGCCATGAATTTTAAAACCAGTTGATTCTAGAAGAAAAAAAAATATTATAAATTTCATTAAAAAAATAATAATAATAATAATAATAATAATAAGTATAATAAAGAAAATAAATGATACTTTATTAATACATAATTTCATATTTATAAAAGTGTTGGCTAAATAATATCAATATAGTGTTAACAGAAAAAAAATTGCATCCTTTATCTCAAAAATTAATTTAAGTAACAAAAGAATATTTTAATTTTAAATTGTTTAAATGTATTATTATAATAGTTAAACAGTTTAGTTATTTTAAATCCACGAATAGACTTTTTAATAAAATTAAAAATTAAATGTTTAATAAAATTGTAATTAAATATATAATATATAGATTCATAATTACTATTATAGTATCTTCCCATTGTTTCGTTATGAGGAATTTCTCCTCGCTTATTTCTATCACTACCGCCTTGATAGCCACCAGCAACATTTTTACGATCAAAAGCTTTATTAACTTTCAATATTTTTCCAGCAACTAGGTGTGTTCTGTTCACTAATTTAAACAAAAATTTATTTTTAGTTTAATTTAAAGAAAAATGTGTATTGGAGTTACTTACTAATAGCTTTGTAAGCTGAGTCTGAGTCATAAAAATTAACAAATCCATATCTACTCTTTTTATCTGATTCTGTTATTAATATTTTTATATATTTAATAGGGCCAAACTGCTCAAAATGTTTTAAAAGATCATTTTCTGATTGACCATTTATACCAGTAATATAAATTGCTTTTCTTTGAGTGGCGATATTTGATTGATTATGTTCCTAAGATAATAAAAAAAATGTTTTAAGGATTAAAACTAAATATATTTAGTTATATTCTTTGATATATTTAATTGGGGTTTATGTCATATTATCTGTTTTATGATGATTAATTACTCCAATATTTAAGAAATTCACTTAATATATAACATTATTTTTTTTCTCATTAATTTAATAAATTAAAAATATTTAAGGTAAAAACATAAGGTTCAAATTTCATACTTCACGAAGTACATAGCGTTTGGTTTCCACATCATGGTCATCTAATATATGAGGCCTATTTGATAAGGCCTTATCAACCATACACGATTTAGAATAAGTAATAAATCCAAATCCCCGAGATCTAGATATTAAAGCATTAAAAAATGATTAGTGACTTATTGAAATACTAAATAAAATAAAACGATTGTTTACCGATTGGATTCAGGGTATCTCTTGACAACAGCTTTTTCAACTTGACCCCATTGTGCAAAAAAGTCTTTAAGTGATTGATTTGTTGTCTGATTACTTAAACCACCAACAAATAACTGTCTGATATGTTCTTCGTTCTATCGGTTGAAAAAAAATCGCTAGTTAACGTAGTTACTAATTACAGAATACATATTTGAATATTTGAAAAAGTATTCGAATACTATAAGAATACTATTTTTCTGCTAATTTTTGTCAGTTTTGGAATGGTTTTGAACTATTTTTCTGGTTCAAAAAAAAGTATTTTTTAATGAATAAAAAAATACAAATTAAAGTATTCAGAATACGTATTTGAATACTTTTTCAAAAATTTACTTAAAACAGTATTCGAATACAAGAGAAAGTATTTAAATAGTTTTATTGGAATTCATTTATTCGAATATTTTAGAAGACTGGTAATTAAGTACAAAATACAATATATTTTTTTGAAAAACATTTAGTCTACTTACGTTAGCATCCATGTTGTCGATAAGGAATATCGTAATAAAAACAAAAGCCGTAAACGTTATTCAAATGTAACGTAAGTCAATTAAATTGACAAATCTTAAAAAATTATAATTATGAATTAAATTTACAAACAAAAAAGAGAGTAATGCTCACTATACTGTACAATGAGATTAAGTCTCGGAATTTGGATAAAAGACGCAATGGCCGTCTGTGTGTAATAGTGTGAAGTAAAACCGTATTCAAATATTGTTTGTTGAACTCATCTTATTTACAGTGTGTACAACTTATTTAAAAAACGCACAAAATGTTTTCTTTAACAATGGCGGGAAATCGCCGATTTTATGAAATCAGCAACGCTGTTGCCTAAAACATGAAATCGATAACTTGAAGTACCTATATATAACGCTGCCAATTGCACGAAATCAGCTACACCCTTTTTAAAAAAAAATTATAAAATATAATTCAATATAAATTAATGTGTTATATTCATGATATTTCATAAGACACTGGAAATATAATCAATTATGTGTTCAAAAAAGTAAAAAAAAAAATCGAAAGTTATGAATATATATTTAGTGTTTTGGGTTATATATTTATATTCATACATTTTGACAACTATGGCCAGGGCGACACGCCGAATACACGTCATGTCATTTTTCCTACTTATGCAGTTTTTTAATATGCAATTTGTACGGCAAGTAAGTACAACATCGATATTCTTGTCCGATTCCAACTGATCCTAATCGAACGAGTTCCCGTAAAAAATATTAATTTGGTTAAACGTCTGCAATCGTTAGGGAACAGTACTTAGTAGCAGCCAAACTGTTCCACTTCAGCTATGTGCTCAGAATCTCTTTTTTAGATGAGGAAGTATTATCAGATGATGATTTTAGTAATACTGACAGGGATCACAATGCTGGGTTAAAGATAATGTGTGGTAATGCCAATGAGCACGTATACAATTATTAGTTATTTCTATAGGTACCACTATTTGTAATTATTTCATACCGAATTTATGCAATCAACAAAAAAAAGTCTGTATAATTCATAAAATCAGCAAACAAAAATAAAATTTGTCGATTTCTTGAAGTTGGTAGCCAAGTTGCCGATTTCACGTTTTCAGCTACAGCGTTGCTGATTTCATGTAATCGACAATGTCACAAATTCGGCATAACATATACAAATATTAAGCAATACTTCTATACAACACTCTCCATCCCTATAGACACGCCCCTGAGCTATTGCATATTAAATAATATATGACGAATTTCTATATTAGTAGTACATATTATTGATCAAATTAATTACATATTTTAATTTTTGTTACGAAATCAATAGCTTTGCGCCTTCTTTGGCATATAATTTGATAAATGATTATACATTTTCTTAAATTATAAAAATTTATTTATTTTAGTTTATTCCAGGTCTTGTAGAAGACCTTTCATTGCTTCCACTACATTTTTCACTCCTTCGTATCCATTGGTTTATCTGTTCTTCATCTCTTATTTTTAGAAGCTTCAGATATTATCTGAATTGATCATTCCACCGCATATTTTATAGTATTTGTATTAATAATGCAAATATGCTAGTATGCAACCTTCTCATGTCCAATACGGTTATACTAAGACTTATTCAGTGTATTGAATACTCTTTATTTAACAATAAATTTAATATAAAAGAAAAAAGTTATTATTTAGAACCTAATAGTTTTAGAATTTTGATGTCGAGGTAATCATTATATTATAATAATAATTGAATTGTTAAGTTATTTTTGGTTACTGAAAAAATTATTTTACCTACTATTATTTATTGATGGACGGGACCCGTTTTGCTCAAATTTTAATATTATTTGATTCCCGTTTCATCCAGACTAGTTTTTATCAATTAAAAACAAAGTTGGTTTTGGTTCAGTCAAATATTGTTGTACATTTTTTTTTTTTTTTTTTTATAATATTTTAACATTATTTGGTAGGTATGACAACTAGACAATTTTTTGATCACTAAAACGTAATTAAGATAGGATTAGGATATCACAAATTGTATAATAATAAATAGTAGATAATGCATAATAAATCCAGCCGTTGTTAAAATATAACCATGTACCGATTGTGTACTGTGTGGTTTATCAATTCACTCTAAACCAGTCTAAACTAAAAACATAACATATATCTAGCTATAAAATAAACAACATACATACTTATATATAATTTATAAAGTAAATAATTACAGGTAAGCTTTGATCGTGATCAGTGTGTACGCGACGGTTAACATACCTATCATATTTTACTGAAATGGCTGTATTTTTGAAAAGTGTAAGAGACAAAGATACGTTAATAAATTCAATAATTTGGTACAGATAAAATTTTGGTTCAAATAACGTAGATCAGGGGCGTTATTTTAGGTTTTTTACGAGTGTGTGAGGTTTCAAGCAGGCCATTTTAAAATTTTACCAGGCCATATAAAAATAGATAAACTTATTTTAACATTATCCTGCTTTCAATTATTTTTATACTTTCACATGGATTGAATAATTGCACCAATATAAATAGTAAAAATCAATTTAAAAACTAAAATATAATAAGTAATTAACAATCATAATTGGCAATATACCAATATTGATAAATGTCAATATAAAAATTAAAATACAATTTAAGAAAATTTAATTTTGAGCATTATTTCAACAGTGCGCAGGTCTGCAATTAGTACTATTTTAAAAGTAAAGGGTGCTTAAAATAATCACAAATTAGTTAGATAACATACAATTTTAACAATTTTTTTCCTTATTGTAAATTATTTAATAAAATTAATAATTTGATATTTAAGATGAAATCAGAAGATTTATATCAGTATAAAATATAATTAGTATAACTGGATAAATGAATAAAAAACATGTGTACATTTAAATTGTATATTATTTAGTATTCTGTTTAAAATCATAGTTAATGTATTTTATATTTTTAAGGTATTTTGAAAAGATTGTCGTGAAGTGTAGTATTTGATAGGTTTCCAAGTTATAGATTTTGTAAATTAATTATTATACTTTCTAGTCTCTACTCAGTATAAATTTTTATGGCATTTTTATGATTTCCTATAAAATAAAATCAACTGATACAAAATACGTTTATATATTGTTATTTACGAGTATGTTATTTCAAAATTATGTATTGCGTTATATAAGTTCAATAATCGATTATGAGTATAATCAATTGTGCGGTGTACTAAAGTTTTGTATATTATGATAATATATATACTACACATTTATTGATTTATTATTCTATACTATAAATATTAGTATACAATTTGTATTTATGTAGTGTACTTTTATTACAGAGCATAGAAGTAAAAAAGTACCTAAACATGTACTTAACAAAGACAATATAAATTTATGGGCACCTAAAAAGATATTCATTACCAGAAGTTAATAGGCTATATTAATGTTACCTGGAAATATATAGAAAGAGCCTTATGAAAATAAATGAAATACATTTTTACTATGCACATGTAATACATTTTTATATCTATAAATGTAATGAGTAATAACTAGAGATGTTAAAATACGGTATTTTATTTTATTTTTTTGTATAATACCGTATTATACCGTATAGAACCTTGTAGTACCTTAAATTATCAGAAATTTAACACAGATTATAAATAAGGAAATATAAATTATTTTAAAATTTATTAATTGACAAATGGCTAAAAGGTCAGAAAACAATAAAAAAAAAAATACATAATATAAGAACTATTTTAGATCAAATTCACCAAATTAATATTTAGTCATGATATCAATTTATTATGAATTATGATATAGGAGTACCACGTAACACATGTTCTGTAATCATATACCTAATGATTAGAAATGATTTAAATTTAAAATATTTTAATTACAATTCATATTTTATAGTAAATTATATTCTTAAAATATTAAATAAATGTTCTTAATAAATTAGGATTTGGCCTTATTATCTCTGCCAATCAACATATAAATATATCTATTAACTTTTTGGTCCACATTTTTTACTTCTTGTAAATAGTAAGTGCTTATATAGTTATATTTAATATCTAAAATTAAGTAAAAAATCTATTTTATAAAAAATTTAAATAAACAAAAGTATTAGGGTATCTGTTTTTATGTTAAATTATTAAATAGAAATGAATCGAAAATCATAATTAGTACTTATATACTTGCTCATTGTATTATGTTAGTGATCCTATATTTACAATATTATAATATTAAAATTGATTTGAGTCATTTTTAGGTTTTTAACACATAAATGATAAATAAACATAATTACAATGAAATTGAATATTTTGAATTTTTATATTAATACTGTATTTTATTAGAGAGCCATTGTATACTAGTAAAAAAATAATAATTGAATAACTAAAATTTAAAATTATATAAATATTAGTTAGCAATAAATATGACACCATCTTTATCATATATAATGTATGCAGTAGGTTTATTTACTTCATTATTTGCATTGCAAAATAGTTAATACATAATTAATTAAATTAATTCTTTAACACTTTATGATATAGACATGGGTTAATATTTAAAAATATTATATTCAAAAAACAAAAATAAAATTATTAAATAATAACTGTTATTGTATTATATTTTTTATTTTGTCATTCTTTGACTAAAAACAAAAAAAAAACATTTTAAGTATAACTTCTTATTATTAATTATAAATTTTATGAATTAACTTCTTTAAATAATTCATCAATCACATTATCTGAAGAATATATAATACTAGTATTTTCTTCTTCTTCTTTTACTGTATCGGGGAAATCATTTGAGTCCTTACCGATAGTATTAAATAAGTGTATTTTATTTTTAATTTGTTTGAAATCTTGTTCAATTTTCAAATTGTGCTTAATATATACAAGTTTGGATGCTCGGTTATTGGTTAATTTATTTCTTCTAGCAGTATGAACAATACCATATTTTGAGAAACTACGTTCGGTTTATGCTGATGTTGGTGAGCATTCTAAAATAGCTACTACAATAGAACAAATTTTAGCTGAAGTACAATTCTTTTCCACCATGTTAAAGGATGAAGTCTTGTTTTATCACTGCAAGTTTTTAAACTATTCCAAACAAAGTTTTTTGACCATAATCCACTGTTAGTTCGATATTCTGCTAGTTCTGACATGACACA